TGGCTTCACTGGCTTTCTTGGCTTCACTGGCTCTCTTGGCTTCACTGGCTTTCTTGGCTTCACTGGCTTTCTTGGCTTCACTGGCTCTCTTGGCTGCCCTGGTCTGCATGGTCACCCTGGGGAACAGCTCCTTCTCCCGCTCCCGCAGGGCCTCCAGACCATCCACGTCAGGTGGGTGGCAGTGGCTCCGCATCACCACGATCCGCCGGCCCTGGGTGATGGCGCGGCTGCGACAGCCCAGCCGAGCCTGGTCCCGGCACATCCAGTACACCTTCTCACCAGCGGCTTTCTCCTTCCTGTACAGGAAGGACTCATAGACCAGGAACCGGCCTCCTAGGGATGTCCGCAGGAACTCCAATGGCTTCCGAGGCTCTGGAGGGACAGAGTCACACCGTGAGGGGACCACTGGGGCACAGCCCTCGGCAACGGGACTGGGCCTCTCTCTGTCCACTGCGATCCCAGGAGGATCAACTCTGCCTGCCCCCTTCCCTTTGCCTGCTCTGCAGGGTTCTGGGGAGCAGTGCTCAGCCACGCCCTGAGACTCTCTAATAGACTTGTTCTCCTTTACAGAGGCTCCAGTGCCGCCCGGGCCGTCCCTGGAGCCCTGCTGGAGGCCTCACCAGACCACAAACTCCATGCTTACTGGGGTCTCCCAGACAGAGGTGGTGCCTGCTGGGATGCCTGTGGTTCATCGGATCTATGTACTGGGGCCTGTCCTGTCCCCATCCACCCACTGACCACAAAGCTGTGCTCAGACTACTTAAGAAGCTGAAGTCAAAGGTCATGTGATGTTGGGGGCATGGCCAGAGAGAGCACGTGAAAAGCTGGGCAGAAAGGAGGAAGGAGAGGCCCTGGGATGGAGGGTCTTTGGGGTTCAGGCATACTGCTCAGGCATGAGTATGTACACTTCCAGGGACTGCCAGCCGTGCCACCCCTGGCCTACCACGCCCAGCTTTTCTTTGGGTCAGAGTTGGTGTCTCTCAGCTTTAGCAATCAATGTGTGTGGAGAAATCAGTGCTTCAAGCACAGAACCTGGGAAGGGACTGGAGTGTTGTAGGGCAGCGGGGAGAAGCCACTCTCCCTCCACCTACCTGGGCCGTTCCAGCTGCTCAGGTTAGGGAAGTTCTCCCGCTCCCGCAGGGCTTCCAGGCCCCCCATGTCAGGAGGGTGGCAGTGCCTGCGCATGACCATCACCCGCTGGCCCTGGGTGATGGCGCGGCTGCGGCAGCCCATGCGGGCCTGGTCCCGGCAGGTCCAGTACACCTTGTCGCCAGTTGCTTTCTCCCGCCTGAAGAGGAAGGACTCATACACCAGGAAGCTGCCCCCCAGAGGGGTCTTCAGGAACTCAGGCCCTTCTGCAAAGAAACCAGAGAAGCAATCAGGGAAGGGGGCATGGAAGCTGAGCCTGACCTTGAGAGGGGAGGATTGGGGAAGGTTCCCATTTTCCTACCAAGAACACCGTACACCTTGAAGAGACCCTACCACCTACTTCATGCCTCCCCACCTGCTCAGTGAGACAGTCCTGTGTCCTCAAACCCCACTGTGCCCTCAGGGGCCAGGGTCTACCTGTCCCGAGGCTACAGACTGGCCAGGCCGAGTCCTGCAGGCGAAGGCTTCCGTCATGATACTGTAGGGAGGGGGCAGGGTGTTTGCTCACTTTATACTAGGTGCCCTCCAGGGCGTTGGCCAGGTACTCCATAGTATGAAGAGCTGGGCTCAAAGCAGCTCAGAGCTGAAGAGGGAGTTGGAGTCACAAGCCCCAAGGGCTGTGTGTGTGTGTTTAGCTGGGTATAAGCGTAAGCTGTGGAGGTAAGAGGAACCTGAAATATAGCCTGGCCTTGCCCAGAGGACCCTCTAGCCCCTATCCTGCTTCCTTGTCATTTACACCTGTCATTTTGACCAGGTATAAGGTTCTACTGTGGTGGTTTGAATAGGAAGGGCCCCATAGCCTCACAGATTTGAATGCTTGGTCACAGAGAGTGGCACTGTTTGGTGTGAGGGGTGGGTGTGGCCTTGAGGGGTAGGTGTGGCCTTGAGGGGTGGGTGTGGCCTTGAGGGGTGGGTGTGGCCTTGAGGGGTAGGTGTGGCCTTGGGCTTTTTTTGAGGTTTCAGAAGCCCAAGTCAGGCCTAGTGGCTCTTTCTTTTCCTGCAGATGCAGATGCAGAACTCTCAACTACTCCTCCAGAATCATGTCTACCTGTGTGGGTTGCCATCTTCCCTGGCATGATGGTAATGAATTAAATCCGTGAAACACATCCTTTTCTAAGAGTTGCCGTGGTTCTGGTGCGTCTTCACAGCAACAGGACAGTTACTAAGACAGAAGCTGGCACCGGGAGCCAGGTGTTGCTGGGGCAGGCCTGACCATGCTGCTTGTTGTTGGAATGTGGACTCTGGGTTAAGAAAGCAGTTGGACACACTGAGCATGGAGGACAGTGACAGACTAGGGAGCCGTCAGAAAGAAGCCGAGGAGGGCAGCCCTGAGAGGCTGAAGGCCTGGGGAGAAGCATCTGACTCCGCAGCGCAGCCCCTAGAAAGGTGGGGAAGGAGACCAGGAGGTCAGGACCGCCTGAAGAGCAAAGCAGCGCAGAGGCCGAGAGGGAAGGAGGTGTCAGATGGAGGAGAGCAAACCTTGTGCCTGTGGGGGATGGTCCACCTCCTCCACACTGGAGTAAAACACTCCTACGCATAGTCAACAACAGAACTCAGCCAGGTCTTGTAACAAGATCTACACAAGCATTCGGAGAAGCTGAGCCAGAGAGGCCCTGGGGGAGCTGGAGGCAAAGGGAAGCAAGGTGGCTTTATATATAAGGAACAAAGCAGGGTGGCCCAGTGGGAGAGAGGGGCACTGAGAGGGGGAGGCAGAAGTCTGTGCTGGGATGTTCCTAAGACCCAGCACCCCAGCTGCCAGCTCTGCAGGGGCAAAGTTAAGCCCCGTGTACAGACAGGGCAGGGCCTTCCTTTAATGTGAGAAGGCCAGTGTCCATGGGAGAAGCTGCATGCTGGAAGGCAGACACCAGAGCAGGCAGGTGAAGACTGTGCCTGGAGAAACCAGCTCCTGCCTCAGCAGGACACAGGCAGAGGCCACCATACTGCTGACACTAGGCACTCTACAAAGAAGTCATTCCGCTATGAATGCAGAAACTTAAAGCTTCAGTAGAAGAAACAGAAAACAAAACCTAGGAAATCTCAGACAGGACTGCAAAAGTGACCAGGGTCATCACAGGAGGATCAATGACTAGGTAACTAGTCATAGAGAGCCACGAAACAGGAGCATTAGGTAGGCGTGTGAGAAGACACTGGGTTGTACCGGGCATGGTGGCTCTACCTTTAATCCCAGCACTCAGGCAGAGGCAGGAGGATCGCTCTCAGTTCAAGTCTAGCCTGGTCTATATATCGAGCTCCAGGACAACCAGGACTACATAGAGAGAGACCCCGTCTCTAAACCAAACCAACTAAGGAAGACACCATGTTGAAGAACACAAGCTGTGGTCTGAAAAGGCCCCTGGTGAGCCACAGCCTTGGCACACCAGGGCGGCAGAAGACTTTCGACTTCTACAGCAGAATCTGCTCACACATATGGGTCAGCCATAAGAAAAACACTATGCTATCTTCAAATAGATTCAGCTATTGTGGAATGACGCTTTACAGCCTGGCACTCTGACTGTCCAGCAAGTGTGTGGGGAAATTACCAACAGCTTCTAATGGGCAGGGTCTCAAACGGGTCTTCCAAGATGACTGGCTCAAGGACTTTTAAACCAAGACAAGAAAGCCCAGAGGCAGGGCATCTGGCCAGGGACATCTAAGTGCTAGGCAGGCCTGACATGAGCCCCCGGCAAGGCTGAAGCCCGCGGGGCTCAGCAAGCTTTGGGGTCGATTGTTGATGTGATGCAAACACAGAAGGATGGAGGCAGTGATGGTCCCTAGAAAAAGAGGCACACACAGCAGCTGCTGGACAGCCACACAGGGAAGCAAAGAGAAAGAAGTGCGGATAGTCCCAGCTCCGCACGGGCAGAATCTGATAAGAACAGAAGGCAGAGGCTAGTGAGATAGTTCAGAAACAAAGACGCTTGCTGCCCAGACTACCGATCTGAGTTCAATCCCCAGGACCTACAGGACAAAAGGAAAAACTGACTCCTCTATGTGGTCCTTGGACTGATACGTGCATGCCAAAGCCCGCATGTATATATGTGCGTACGTGTGTACACACACACACACACACACACACACACACACACACACACACACACACACACAGAGGCAGGCAGAGCTCTGTGAACTTGAGGCCATCCAGAGCTACATAGTTGAGACCTGAGACCCGGTTTCAAAAAACAAAACAACAACCCCAAATCAAACAAATAGAAAGCACAAAGCCTACTCAAAAAGTATACCAAGGCTAAATCAGTTCCTCTGGCTGGACGTCAGCAGGTAACAAGGACACTGAACATGGATTAAATGGATTAACAGTGGTAGAATGCATTTTAAGAAATGGGGAAGCCAGGCAGTGGTGGCGCACACCTTTAATCCCAGCACTCAGGAGGCAGAGGCAGGCGGATCTCTGTGAGTTTGAGGCCAACCTGGTCTACAGAGTGAGATCCAGGAAAGCCTCCAAAGCTACACAGAGAAACCCTGTCTCGAAAGAAAAAAAAAAAAAAGGAAAAAAAAAGAAAAGAAAAAAGAAATGGGGAAGCAAATGTTTGGAGCAGGGATGTGGGGCTGGAAGTGATGTCATGTCCTGGCACCATCTTCCTGTTTATAAGGATGTCATAGAAATGTAACAAAAAAGAGTGAGGATGATAAAACATCTCCTGTATCTGGAATAAGCTTAGGACCAAAAGGTAACTCAGAGGACTCCAAAAACTACAGGACGGGAGACCGGTGGGTGTGAGCTGAGGAGCCGAGTGCTGGCCAGGTGAGAAGTCTAGCTTCAACCATTTTCCTCAGGCAGATACCAGGCTCTCTGGAGCCAAATGGGCAGAGCTAGGACTCCGGCATGCAGGTGTGTGACAAAGCTGGAGAGAGGTTTGGCTCTTTCAGCTCCCAGACGCTGAGGCTGACTGGCTACCCTCTGTTTACACTGCAGGAATGAGGACCTGACCGCACGCCTTCAGCAGACTCTACTACTAACCTAAAATAACAGGAATGGATTAGGTTGATCAGGTTTGGGGCCTCGGAGAGTAAGCAGGCAGGTAAAGAGGAACCTGGGAGAGCAAATCCCAGATGGGCTGAGTATGGGGGCAGAAGTTGGGGGCACAGAGGAGAGGACTGTGACTTCCAGAATAATTACAGAAGGAAGGAGGGCAGGACACATGTAACCAACCGAAAAAGCTGTGGGGTCACGGCAGGTACCTGGGCCATCCCACTGAGAGTGGCCGGGGCGTTTCTCCCGCTGCCTCAGAGTCTCCAGTCCTAACAGGTCAGGTGGGTGGCAGTGGCTTCGCATCACAGTCACCTGCCGGCCCTGGGTGATGGCGCGGCTGCGACAGCCCATTCGTGCCTGGTCCCGGCAGGTCCAGTACACCTTCTCACCAGCTGCTTTCTCCCTCCTGTAGAGGAAGGACTCATACACCAGGAAGTTGCCCCCTAGAGGGGTCCTCAGGAACTCTGGGCCTCCTGCAGGACATGAGGAAGGTAGTTAGGGGCGGGGCCAGAGGATGGAGATTAAGAATGCAGGGGTAGGTAGAGGAGGATGGCCACCCCCCTCCCAAAATGAGGCAACCAACTCTGGCCAGCAGGCCCCAAACACTGAGACTCACTGGGGTCCACATCCTGGTCCTCCTCCTCGGGCGACTCCTGCAAGGACTCCTGGTGCTCCCTTGCTCGCTTTCTGGACCTGGACCTACTGAGAGTCAGTGTGCCCTGCCCCCTGCGGTAAAACAAGCTGTCCACCCCTTGGAGCAGCGTGTCCTCGATGTCATCACAATCCTCCAGGTCCCCAGCGCCAATCCGCCTTGCCTGTATCTTCTTTATGGTCTTCTCCTGCTGTCGCCGGGCCCGCAGGCCTTCCATGTCAGGCGAGTGGCAGTGGCTGCGCATGACCGTCACTCGCTGGCCCTGGGTGATGGCGCGGCTCCGGCAGCCATTGACTGCATGCTCCCGGCAGGTCCAGTACACCTTGCTCCCCACAGTCTTCTCGCGCTTGTAGAGGAAGGACTGGTGTACCAGGAAGGTGCCCCCATAGCACGTCTTCAGGAACTCAAGGGGCCGATACCGTACTGGAGGAAGAACCCAGGAAGGTCACACACCATGGACGAGAGCCCAGGAGTCCCAGGAGGAACCGCCAAGTACTTTTCTCCCAAATGTTGACATACTTCCCTGAGCTGGGCATGTGTGAAGCCCAGTGCATTCCCACCAAGCCACCCAAAAGGAACAAGGGTTCCTTCTCCAAGTCAATTAGACCTCAGCCCACCACTTCACACCACAATGGGAGGGGCCAAGTTGGGCTCTGATTCAGCAGGTTATGCTCTGGGCCATTCTTGGGTTTGTTCAAGAATGTTCTCCCTCCCACTAGAACCCAGTGCTCAGTGGCCTGTCACTCAGATCCTCAGATCCTGTGGGTCAGGAGACACCGGCTTTCTGGAAGCCATGCCTACCTACTCCAAGAATGCAGACCACCGCTCACCTAGCTAAGCAGCCCAGAATATGACTTGATCAGCATCACCCCACATGTCCACAACAGTCCAAGCTGCCACAACCTACCTCGGGAATAAGCCTGAGACCCCAGAATTCATGTGAATTTCCTGAGGCTGAAGGCATCATCCATGGGGTTGGAATTTGAACCTGGGACTCAAAGCCAAGCCTTGCCCCTGGGCACCCTGCTGAAACTTAGCCTGGATCACTGAAACCTGCCTATCAGCATGCAGATCTCTAGGACCCATACCAAGCCCTGCTGTACTGGGAAACTTTGAAAGGCCCTGGGACCCCCAGGTCACAATGCTGTCTGTCCCATGGGCATCATGATGACTGGGATGCATTTATATTTTTGACTGTGAGCACATTTTGAGAACCCATGTGAAACCCCACATTTGTATTTGGGCATGAAGAAGCTGAGAGTTCTTTCCTGCCCCAAGTGAGGAGAGGACATGGACTCACCCACTCCTGGTGCAGGGCGTTTCTTGGGAGGCAAGCTCTGCAGTGCCAGGGATCGGTACCCCTGGTCCTCCTCTGGCTCCTCAATGCTTTGCTGAGGGGTGGGCTCTGGCTCCACAGGGTACAGCCATAGGCTCACCCCTTCTTCTTGGGCTTCAGGGCCCTCAGGCAGGCTCGAGCAGGGCACCTTCTCCTTCCGGCGCCGCATCTTCAGGCCCTCCTTGTCGTGTGGGTGGCAATGGTCCCGCATCACTGTGACTCGAAAGCCACGGGTGATGGCCCGGCCCCGGCAGCCCAGCTCCGAGTGCCGGCGGCATTTCCAGTACACCTTGTCCCCCACAGCCTTCTCTTGCTTGTACAGGAATGACTTGTGGACTAGAAGGCGGCCCCCATACGGGGTCTTCAGGAACTCCAGGGGCTGGGGGGCAACTGCGGGTATGAAAAAGGCTGGGTGAGCCTCTCTAGGGCAAGGCCCTTGGTGAGCTGGACTTGGAGTACGGTAAGGTCCTCTGGGCCAGATGCTTTCTCAGGCTCCTGGCTGTCAGACTAGCCCAGGTTTTAGAAGCTGCTTTTGTGATTAGGGGAGAGGATTTAAGGAGTCAAGAGAACTCTGCATACAGTAGCAGTTCCCAGGAGCCTGGGGAGAGGGCCCAGTGCCTGGGACACAGGATGTGCTTACAGGCCAAGAGGTTCAACTAAAAGGAAGAATGGGGTACCTGAGGTCACCCCGATGGAAAATGGGGGTGCACAGGTCAGCAGATTTGGCAGAGCGAGGCCCAGTGGGCCAGGGAGTCTCACCTGCATCTACTCTGCTACGTTTCCGGTGAATTATCCGCCCCTGCTTCTTGGCCGGCAAGGTCTGGGGGGTGCTGCTGGACACAGCGGCAGGGCCTGTCGGTTTGGATCCCTCTTTGTCCCCGGCCAGGACCAGATTGGAGGACTCTTGGGGCTTCTTGGCTCCAAGAGATGGCTCCTGGCCAGCTTTCACACGCTCACCCTCCTGCTCATTGGGCTCAGGTAGGGGCATCCTGGGTCTGAGGTTCTGGCCCTCAGGCCACCTTCAGCCCTCTGGTAGATGGGTCTTTCTTCCTCTTCTTCCTCCTCCTCCCAGGCCAGACTATGGGAGCCCAGAGGCTCTGTCCTAAGAGAAGAACCAAGGCAGTTAGTGGAGGAGGTCCCTGGGCCTGGGACTCTAACCAATGGATCTGGGATGGAGCCTGGGGCAGATAGAACTTCCTCAGTGCCCTGGGATTGAGAGGCTGCGGAGGGACCTGACATAGGTAAGAGCCCTGGGCAGATGCACGCACTACCAGTATCTTTCCTGGCAGCCCCACCCAAGCCCCTCCAGGGCTGCTGGTGACTAACATACTATTGAGTTTCTACCTTAGAAGTCTTACCAGTGTCTAGCATAGGTCCCTTCCAGACCATTCTTAGTGACCCATCTAATAGTTAAGAACAGAGGCACAGGAACCAGACAGGCCGGAGAATGACGAGGCTGAAATCCCATTGTGCCTGCTCAGATGCCTAGGTGCCTACCCGGGCTTGGCCCTGGGCATTTCACCTCAATGCTGGGCACCTGTCTCAAAGAACCCAGGCCAGGAAGTACTAGCTAGAACTTTGCATGGCAGAAGGTTGAAACCTAGCTCCAGGAAATGGGACTCTCTGGCCTCACACAGGCTATCCCCCGACTGACTCTGGAGGCCTCAGCTCAGCCCAGTCCTCCAGATACCACAGGGCCTTTGCATTGACCTTGCAACCACTGTTCCTAGTGCTGCATTGGCTGGGCAGAGGCAGGGTTCCACACCTCCAGTCTAGACAAGGATGGTCGGATCTAGGGTGCTTCCCCAGGGTGGGCTGACATTCCTGTGTTTCTGGGACAACTGAGTAATTAGCAAGGGGTTTCCTACCTTTCCACTTTCAATAAGAGCCATTAAACAAGACTATAGCACTCCAGACATTTTCTTTCTTTCTTTCTTTCTTTCTTTCTTTCTTTCTTTCTTTCTTTCTTTCTTTCTTTCTTTCTTTCTTTCTTTCTTCCTTCCTTCCTTCCTTCCTTCCTTCCTTCCTTCCTTCCTTCCTCTCCCTCTCTCTCTCTCTCTCTCTCTCTCTCTCTCTTTCTTTCTTTCTTTCTAGCTGAGCATAGTGGCACATGCCTTTAATCCCAGTACTCAGGAGACAAGAGGCTTACAAATCTACATAGTGAGTTCCAGGCTAGCAGACTACATAGCAATACCCTGTCCCCAAAACAAACAAACAAACAAAATAACCATAGAATTTTCAAAGTTTTTTTTTTTTTTTTTGTTTTTCAAGACAGGGTTTCTCTGTGTAGCCCTGGCTGTCCTGAACTCCTATGTAGACCAGGCTAGCCTCTAATTCACAGAGATCTGCTTCTGCTTCCCTAGAGATGGGATCAAAGGCATGTGCTACCACGCTTCTTCTTTAATACCCTCAGTGAAAGAAACCAGTAAGAAAAGATCAGTCTCTTAGGATCTGTTTATATGAAGTATCTAGAGTGGGCCAGTATACAGAGACTAACAACAACTGAACGGTGGGATCTGGAGACTGGGAAGTGATTGCTAATAGATGTAGCTTTTCTTCTGCACTCATGAAAGTGTTCCAAAATTGGTCGTGGTGGTGACTGCACTCTGTGCTGAAAACAAAAAATGGATTTGGGGGTGGAGTTCCGTGGCTAAAATGCTTGCCTGGTGAGTATAAGGCTCCTTTCAAGCCCTAGAAGCGAGTAAAACCCGGCATGACGACAGTTCACTGGAGAGGCTGGGGCAGAATCTGAGGCCAGTCTGGGCTTCCTAACCAGGCTTCGTCTCAACAAACTCAGGGGACAGAAGCCTGACTAACTGTGCCAGCCTGACCCCTGGGAGCCTCCCCAAAGTAGAACTGATTCTGTAGATTTGTCTTCTGACCTCCAACCAGGGGTCACAGCATAAAGAACTCTCCCACATCACACAAACACATTAAAACACACACAAATAAAATCAGATAAAAAGTGTAAGATGCTGACATTCATGTTGATGAAGATGTGGGGGTTTTCTACACAACCCTGCAACTTTTTAAAAATCTTTGTGTGTCTTTGTATGTATGTACATGAATGTACACGCATGTACCTGAATGTAAGTACGGGCAAGTGCATCATGCATGTGGAGGTCAAATGGCTGTCAGTCTGCCGTCACCTCATTTGAGGAGTCTCTTATTCACTACTGGAAGGAGAGTCCTGAGCGTCTCCTGTCTCCCACCTCACCACAGGATACTAGGACTACAGATTCTTGATACCACATCTGGTCTTACATGAACACTAGGATCCAAAACCCAGTCCTCATGATTATTGGCTGAGCCATGTCCCCAACCCTATTTTCAGTTTAAAACAAAACAAAACAAAGCCAGGTGGTGGTGGCGGTGGCAGCGGCAGCGGCGGTGGCGGTGGCGGTGGCGGCGGAGGCGGAGGCACACCTTTAATCCCAGCACTCTGGAGGCAAAGGCAGATCTCCGAGTCGAGGCCAGCCTGGTCTACAGAGCGAGTTTCAAGACAGTCAGGGCTACACAAAGAAACCCTGTCTTGAAAAACCCAAAAAAACACAAAACCCTAAATTACTTTTTATTTATTGTCTATGTGCATGTGTATATGCATTCGATTATAGGTGAGGCACAGTGCATGGAGGTCCAGGGACACGCAGTAGTCAGAGCTCTATGACCAAGATGGACTCTGGCTGTCTAATCAGATCCTCAGCAAGGCAGCGAGTGCCTTTTCCTGCTGAGTCATCTATATCCAGCCATCCAGACTCATTTGTTTGGGGACTTTTTTTTTTCCCCTCCTTGTTTGAGACCAGGTCTCACTATGTAGATCAGGCTGGCCTGGAACTCAAGGAGATCCACCTACCTCTGCCCAAACTGGCATCAGACTAACAATGCTGCTGTGGCTGGTCTTGAACACCTGATCCTCCTTTCTCTACCTCCAATTGCTAAGCTTACAGATGTGTGCCGCCATGCTCAGCCAGCCTTGTATTATTTACTTTGTTCATCGACTTGGGCTCTAATGTGTTCATTTTATACTTTTCACTCAATATAAGCCTATAAGAAAACACAGTGTGGGCTGGAGAGATGGCTCAGCGGTTAAGAGCGCCGGCTGATCTTCCAGAGGTTCTGAGTTCAATTCCCAGCACCCACATGGTGGCTCACAACCATCTGTAATGAGATCTGGCGCCCTCTTCTGGCCTGCAGGCAGAACAGGTAGGTATACAGAATAAAATCTTGAAAAAAAAAAAAAAAGGCAAAGTGTGTTCAGGTTAGACAGACGTGCACAGGTTATTCAAGAGTCTACAGGCTGTGCTTCACTCTTCCATCCTCTCCCCTCCCTCAGTGCTGAGGTCAGAGCTGGATGATTACAGTTATCCCAGTGTGGTCCTGCTCCAGTGTGGTCCTGCTGGTAGTCACACCTTACTCAGAGCAGGCCAAGAAGTTCTGCAATGTTAGAAATTGTCCAGTGCCTCTCAGACACAACTAAGTCCAATCCCTAACAACTAACTAAAATCCTGAAAGCCAGAAGCCTCTCTTGGGAGGTAACAGCAGAGCAACAGTTATCTTTACATGGGAGATAAACTGTATTACCATGCCCTTGCTGGGTAGGAGACCTGGGCCAAGCCCAGAACTCTCCTGGCCACTCTCACCTGCAAAGCAGGAAAACCGGTGAGGGTTGGGGAGATGGCTATAAAAGTATGAGAAGTATGAGAAGGTTCACCTTCCCAGCGCCCATGTGAAACAGGGTCACATGCCTGTCTATAACCCCAGCATTGGGGTGTGGAGCCAGGCAGATCTCAGGAGCTTGCTGCTACCCAGCCTCACTGAAATTGTGAACTTCGTGTTCAGTGTGAGATTCTGTCTCAAAAAATAAGATGGAAAGCCATTCCTGGCTTCCTCCTCTGACCCCCTTCCTCAAAGTAGTGAATGAGACGCTCTAAGTGAAGTTATACGGGCAAGCATCACTCCCGAGACAGGATGACGGTGGTCGATCCCCAGAAGGACTGCCATTTACCACCCTAGAGTTTCACAGCCTCAGCACTGGTGGCGTTCTAGACCTGATTCTGCTTCACTGTGAGGGGCAGGGCAGGGTAGGATGTTCATCGGCACCTCGGGCCTCTACATACTACATAAAACCCACTATCACCTCTTTTTCCTAGTTACTGTGGAACCAATACTGCTGGCTGTCTTGGGTTTGGGGGGTGCCAACAGTGGACTGTCTGAGAGCACTGTTTAAAGCAATTTAGAAATACAGACACTGGCAGGATGTGGTGGTGAATGTCTTTAATTTCAGTACTCAGGAGGGAGGGGCAGGTGGATCTCTGTGAGTTCGAGGCCAGCCTGGTATATTGAGTTCTAGGAGTCAGACCTACATAGAGAGACCCTGTCTCAGAAGAATAATTTCTTTCTTTCTTTCTTTCTTTTTTTTTTTTTTTTAGAAATATAGACACTGAAGAGATACCAGCCAACAGGAGCCTATTCTACAAATACCTTGCTATAATTTGGATTATGAATGTCTCCCCAAAGAACCACAGTGGTCCTCAGAACCACATAGGTCCTTGAGGGACCTATGGGAAGCTCAGCCCTTCTCAGTCTTTCTTCCTGACTATGATATGAGCAGCTTGCTCCATTAAATGCTCCAGGCCATTATCACACAGACCAACCAATGCAAGGAAATTCATCTGCCAGATCTTGGACTAGAATCTCCAAGGCCAAAGAAAATGAATGTGTTCTCACAACGTCATCATTCCCCTCCTCCTCCCCCTTGGGGAGTACACCAGCACTGAAGTATTTTGTCATAAATACGGAAAGCTGGGGATGGGGGTGGGGTGGGGATGGCTCAGCAGACAACAGCACTTGCTGCATACGCCTGAGGGCCTTAGATGCCAGCATTCACGTGACTGGAGCCTGTAACCCCAGGGCTGTAGAAGGCAGAGACACTGCTTCCAGGATAGCTCCAGGTCCAGTGAGACCGTCTCAAAGGAATAAGGCAAGGAGTGATGGAATAGGCCTCTGCATATGTGCACACACACAAACACACACACACACACACACACACACGAACAATAAGGAAACATGGGAAGCCACCTGATATATTCCCCAATCATCCCAGATCAGAATCTTGGCTAGATGTACTCCTTTACCTAGGATGAGGTACCCTCAAATGTCACTCTCTCTGTATATAATCATACCATATTCCATCTGCTTTCCTGTCAAGGCCTTCCTTCCTCACTGCCTCCTCTTCAGCTCAGCTAAATCTGGGCAGTGCTCTGATAGTCTTCAGCTTTGGTCACTCCAATTCTCCCCAAGAGTACTGACATGTTACTCTTCTTAAAAATCACGTTTTTACACACACACACACACACGCCTCCACCAAAAAAACATCTCCGTCACAGCCAAGCATCTCATCAGCTCTCCTTAAGAAGCTCCCTTAGCCACAACTTCAGTTTTTTACAAGCCAGACTAGTGGCTCTTGGAAGAACAATGAGATTAACATACCTGAATCATACCAGAAAACCTAAATCAAGCCCCAGCAATGGTATGGACCCTGGAAAGCAGGAAAGTTAAAAAAAACAAACGAACAAAAAAACCCACTACCACAACAAAAAGATCTTTCTTTGGAATGGTTATCGCTTTGTGGAAGTAAGGAGTAAAGAAGGGTTTAAAGCTGTCAGATAAACTATGTCTTGAATCAATGGGTTAGCAAGTCAGTCATCTGGAATAGAATGGAATGGAACGGAACAGAAAGGAATGAATTAGAACAGAGCCTAATAGATCTGCGTCATGTGAGCCGGGTAAGCCGCTCTCTTTAAACTTGTGATTCACGAACCTATCGTTAGGCACAGAATATACACATAAAACGTATTTCTCAGTTTAGAATGAGCCACAAAGTTTGAAAGCCATAACGGACAATCTATAGTCAGAACTAGGAGGGATAACAAGCGGCAAAAAGTGCAAGGTCACTGGGACCTGCGGCCGCAAGGATGGGCCGCGACAGAGGACAGAGACAGGTAGACACGCATGGTGGACACGGTGCGAGGAAGATGGGCGAATGTGTGATCCCGGATTTAGGGGTGTTGAGATCCGTACAGGGGTCGGGTGGGTTGATGCAGAGAGCAGGGAGAAAGGAGGCACACCGCGGGTGACCGACAACGAGGCGGCCTGAGCCCGAGCTGCCGAGCCGGGGCCCCTCCCCAGCGCCGGGCCCGACCCCGGGGCAGCCGGACCAGGCATCGCTCCGCGGGCCGGACCCTCCCGCCCGCAGGGGCCCGTCCTCACCGACGGCAGCGGACCCTGCCTCTGCGGCGGCTGAGCCACGCGGTCCTTCGTGTGGGTCTCCGCCAACCGAGGCGTCGGCCTAGCAGCCGGCCGCTCTACAAACCAGGACCCCGGCGCCCGCTCCCGCCGCCAACTGCCCCCCGGAGAGCGGCCCCGTGCCCGCGCGCGCGCCCCCGCGCGGAACCGGCTAGGAGCACCTAAACACTACTCGCGAGCATGCGCAGCAGAGGCGCGGAGCCATTCCCGAGGCGGATATCAATTCTCCGGGTCTTCTCTGCGCAGTACCAACCTAAGACCCTAGCCAATCAGCTTACAGGGGCGGGCGTATTAACATGGAGGAGGTGGGTGAACCCATAGTCCGAATGCTGCAATGGGGGGCGGAGGACGACGACAGGACGACAGGTGAATTTGTTGGAGGGATGGATGCAGGCGGGGCATCTTCAATAAGAGGATGCCAGCGGTCTTGATTGAGACACCCGGGCCTTTCATAGGATTTGACTGTAGCGTTGGCTTAAATGCATTGTTAGGCCAGTGACCTTCCTGAACGTTCTTTTGTTTTTTGTTTTATTTTTTTTTTATTTTTACTTATTTATTTTGGCTTTTCAAGACAGAGTTTCTTTGTGTAGCCTGGCTGTCCTGGACCACTCTTTAGGCCAGACTGGCCTCGAACTCAGATATCTGCCTGCCTCTGCCACCAAAGTGCTGGGATTAAAGACATGCACCACTGCCACCCAGTATTGTTTTGGTTTGGTTTGGTTTTGGTTTTTTGAGACAGGCTTTTGAGAGACCCCCACCCAAGTTCCCCCTAAAGCCCGGAGAGCTGAGGAAAGGAACATCTTAAAATAGCCAGAACCAAGTCAGTTCCCCATTCCCAGACAGGGTGAAGTCAGAAGTTTTAAAAGTACAAAATCAGACTGTCTGGTGGTAACTAACCACGAGACGCCCCCCCCTCCCCTGAGATAACAGGACCAAATTTTGGAGATGGGCTGTAAAACTCCTGACAGAGCAAAAAATAAGATAAAAGTCCAAACTCAGGAAAACTGGACCAATCAAGGGTGGACCCGTACTAACCCCCTCCTCTCTGAAGAATTTTGTGGTTTTTGCCTTCAAAAGCTAATCTCCCCAAGAAAGAGGAACTCTCCTCCCTGCCTCGCTGCGCCGGGCAATGCGGATGAGGGTTCCTTGCTAGCTCCTATTGCGCCAAGAAGTAAACCTTGCTATTGCATTCTGGATATCTCTGGTCTCCTGGTGGTCTCTTTGGGGGTCCTAATCTGGACATAACACTTTCTCTGTGTATAGTCCTGGCTGTCCTGGAACTCACTCTGTAGACCAGGCAGTCCTCGAACTCACAGAGATCTGCCTGCTGAGTACTGAGCTTAAAGGCATATGCCACCACTGCCCAGTTTCTCCTTAAAAAAAAAAATACTTCTTACTTTTTTTTTTTATATGTATTTGAGGGCCTGTCTGCATGTGTATATCACCAATGTGCATGCCTGGTGCCTGTGGAGGTCAGAAGAGAGTGTCAGATCTACTGGAACTCGAATTGCCAAGAGTTGTAAACCACCATGTGGGTACTGGGCCTCAAACTTGAGTCCTCTGGAAGAGCAGCCAGTGTTCTTAATGGATAAGCCATCTCTCCAGTTCTCCTGAACTTTCTTATGAAGCACACTGAAGCCTTTAAATATCCTCCACTCCCAATCCAGGACAATCTGAGATTCAAAATACTGTCAATAACAGATCACAAGTTTAAATAAAAATCCAGGAACTGGGCTGGGCAGTGGTGGCTCACACCTTTAATCCCAGCACTCAGGAGGCAGAGGCAGGCAGATCTCCGTGAGTTCTAGGCCAGCCTGGTCTAGAAAAGCAAGTCCTGGAACAACCAGGTTGATACGCAGAGAAAACAAAAAATACACAGAGAATCCGGAATTCATATCCATCTTCAGCTATATAACGAATGCAAGGCAAGCCTGGGCTACATGAACTCTCTTAAAAACAACAAACCATAGGTGAAATCTATAAGCTAAAAAACACAGAAAATGCAAAGCCTGGTATGGAGGAGCAAGCCTGTAATCTCAGGGTTCCAGAGGCAGAGGTAGGAGAATGAGACCATTCCGGGCTGCATAGTGAGTGAGTCCCGGGGAAGCTGATGCCACATAAAATGTCTCAAAAAACAAACAGGGCTGGAAGATGGCTTAGGCAGTGGTCCTCAACCTTCCCAATGCTGTGAAGCTTTAATACATACAGTTCTTCATGTTGTGGTGACTCCCAACTATAAAATTATTTTTGTTGCTATTTCATAACTGTAATTTTGCTACTGTTATGAATCTCATAATGTAAATATTTTTGGAGATAGGGGTTTGCCAAAGAGGTCGTGGCCCACAGGTTGAGAACCACTGGCTTAGAATTTCTCAGCATTTCCTGCTCTTGCAGAGGACAAAGTTCAGTTAGGGGATCTGACGCCCTCTTCTGGCCTCCTTCAGAATCAGGCATGTACATGTTACAGATATATGCAGGCAAATGCTCATACAGATGAAATGAAAATAAATCTTTGAGGCCAGGCAGTGGTGGCCCACACCTTTAACACTAGCACTTGGGAGGCAGAGGCAGGCAGATCTCTGTGAGTTCAAGGCCAGTCTAGTCTAGTTCCAGGAGAGCCAAGGCTACACAGAGAAACCCTGTCTCAAAAAACCGACAAGTAAATAAATAAATAAATCTCTGAAAACAAACAAAAACTGAGTGTGGTGGTTGCATCTGCAATCCCAGCCCTTGTGAGGTGAATTTTGAAGCCTCCTGGACAGTTTGGCCAGGTATGATGATCGACACTTTGAATCCTAGCTTCTTGGGAGGAAGTAGAATAATCAGGAGTTCAAGGACACAAGGGGCCCTTGTTTTAAAAGCCAACGTTTAAGAACAGGCATGGTGGTTGCTCACCTGTCATCCTTGTATTCAGGAGGCAGAAATAGGAGGACTGCTTGCTCTGCCTTGTACTCTTGCTCTTAACCCGGCGGAAAGGTCCTAGGCCTGGCAGGCTCCCCCACTGGCCTTGCCATCCCTTCCCCTCAGCGTTGGTGAGACACAGCTTCCTGTAAAGCCCCTCCCCTCCCCGCGCCAGGTCTACTCTGACCCACACATCTGATCTACACACGGGCAGAACCCTATAAGCCTTCTGCAGCTTGGTAACCTCAAATCTCTGTCCCATTTCTCCTTCCCATGCTCCGTTCGGCGACCCTGCAGGCTCCTCTCCTTATGGCCTGTTACTGGAAAACTCAGGAGCCCAAACAGACAGAGAGAAGATCCCTTCCCTGGTCGTGTTAGCTTGTGTGGTGTAGGGATGGGGTAGAAAGAGAGAGCAATAAATCTACTACATTATACGAAGCTATCCTGTGCCTGGTCCTTAAGCAGCCCTTGCTTCTGACATTCTGCTGTGCAGAATTGACTGAGATCAGTAATCCGAGTCCCCACTACAGGAGGCGCTCACTCCTCAGGTACGGCGATGAGGGAGTGGTGTGGATTGTGCGCGCCCCCACGTGGTCCCCAGGAGCAATTGTGAGGCAGAGTCTCGGCAGTGGAGATCTAGGAGTATTGGAAAGAGCCAGCCACTCTAACCCAGGAAAATATATATACACAGGCTGGAGGAAAACATATAGAGGTTTGCACACAAAGGTTAGGGTAGTCTTGCCCCATTGTGCCCCCCTTCTCCCTTGCTCTGTTCTCAGGTCTTCATGTGTATGTGTGTGTGTGTGTGTGTGTGTGTGTGTGTGTGTGTGTGTGTGTGTGTGTGTTTAGGCCAGAAGTCAACATTGAGTGTTGGATACTTTCCTCAATTGTGCTCCCTCTTATTTTTTGAAACTGGATCTCTCACTAAACCTGAAGCTTGCTGATTTGGCTAGACTGGCTGGCCAACATGCCCCAGAGATGCTACTGTGATTACCCAGCCCTGGGGTTAGAGGCCCACCCACAGCATTCTGCTTGTATGTGTGTGTAATATATGTGTGTGTGTAATTTATGTGTGTGATATGTGTGTGTAATATATGTGTGTGTGATAGATGTGTGTATAATATAATATATGTGTGTGTGATTTATGTGTGATGTATATGTTTGTATGTAATATATGTATGTAACGTGTGTGTGATATATGTGTGTCGGTTGTGTAATATGCGTGTGTGTGTGTGTGTGTGTGTGTGTGTGTGTGTGTGTAATATATGTATGTGTGTGTGGTTGCTAGAAATCAGTCCTGATGATTGAGCAGCAGGAAGCATTTACCAACTGAGCCATCTCCCTAACCTCAGGTCCTGTCCCTCCCTCCCTAACCCCCAAGCCCTGCCTCTGTCTCCTGAGTGCTGGAATTAAAGGCATCTGACAAAGCTAGACAACCAAAAGCACGCAGCAAAAGAGAAACCACAGTGGACTCCATTTAAAAAGAGCATTAGGACAAAAGAACTAACTTCCAGGGCTGGAACAGAATAGAAATATTACAAACAACAGCCCTGCTGGGGCTAGAATAATGGCTTAGTGGTTAAGAGCACTGACTGCTCTTCCAGGACCCAGGTTCTATTCCCAGTGCCCACATGGCAGCTCCCAACTGTCTGTGGCTGTGGTGGTGGTGGGCGAACCAACAGCTTCTCACCTCCAAAGGTTCTGCATGCACATACTATACAGACAGGCAAAATTAATAATTTTTTAATTAAAAAAAAAAAAAAGGCCCTATAGGGCTGGAGAGATGGCTCAGCGGTTAAGAGCACTGGCTGCTCTTCCAGAGGTCCTGAATTCAATTCCCAGCAACCACATGGTGACTGACAACCATCTGTAATGAGATCTGGCGCCCTCTTCTGGCATGCAGGCATACATGTAGACAGAACACTGGATATATAATGAATAAATAAATCTTAAAAAAAAAAAAAGGGGGGGGGTGCTGGAGAGATGGCTCAGAGGTTAAGAGCATTGTCTGTTCTTCCAAAGGTCCTGAGTTCAATTCCCAGCAACCACATGGTGGCTCACAACCATCTGTAATGAGATCTGGCGCCCTCTTCTGGTGGGCAGGCATACATGCAGGCAGAACACTGTATACATAATAAATAAATCTTTAAAAAAAAAAAAAAAAGGCCCTATAAAAGCAATACAACAAAATGGCAGGAGGAAAATGTACCAAGTATGTTTCAAAAGCATTCAGTTTTGAAGACAAGTTTGGAACATAGGTCCCTTACATCCTACATTGAAAAAGAATGTTTTTCATACTCAGAAGTGGTTTTCAAAGAATAAGGACTCATAGGTAAAAGGACCAGAAGCCAAAGCCAAAGCTTTCGGGGTCTCTGGGAGTTCCCAGCTTGGGGACTGGAAATGGAAGGGAGCTATGTTTTCCTTTCTTTCCCTTCCACAAGTTGGAAAGGGGTTCAGGCTGTGTGTTCATCTCCTGGGGTTGCCTTGCACCCTTGTTAGAGGCTCAGGCTGTGTGTGGGCTTTCTTGCTGGCCTTACACTCTTGTTAAGGCAGATCCTTGACAAGTGTCAGGTGCAGGCTCATCCCTTCCTCAGTGGCATCTGTAGGGAGGATGCTGGGGCCCCATGCCTGGGAGGCAGCAATCTGAAAGTCTTCTTCTAGAGGGCAGGCTTAGGTTAAGAAGAGAAGAACAGTGGCCTACATAGGGCAACCTTGGAGGACTCAGCTAGAGGGAACCTGATGCCGCTTGTAGAGGGAAGGACCAGGCAGTGATGAGGATCAGGCTGTCTCTGGTCCAAGGCAGTTCTCAGTGTCCCATTTCAGGCTAGTGACAGCATGAAGACGAAGCCTTGGGAACCACTCTGAATTATGCCAAGAACTCATTTTCCAGACCAACGGAGCCCATCTATGAAGTTAGGAGTTAGAGGCCCCAAGAGAGACTCCACTGAGTCTAATGGCCCAGGCAAGTCTGAAGTGGGAAGAAAACTTAGAAAGGAAGTCCCCAGAGTGATGGGGTCAGAGCAGGCTCCAGTGACCCAAAGTCCTACAGTCCTACGATGTTTTAAACCTACCCTAGCCTAGAGGTGGTGGCATACACCTTTAATACCAGCACTTGGGAGGCAGAAGCAGTTGAAAGATCTCTAAGTTTGAGGCCAACCTGATCTACAGAGCAAGTTCCAGGACAGCCTGGACTATACAGAGAAACCCTGCTTGGAAAAACAGCATCAGCAACAAAAACCTACCCATGGCGGGAAATAGCATACAGCTTCTTTTATTTTCCCTTTTTCCTTCTTGCTTATAAAAGTAACTGGTGCAGTGAGCAACACGTGCCGCAGCAGTTGCCAAGGTTATGGGGAAGTGCCGGGTGTCTTGGGGAGCACAGTGGTCTCCTCGGGACTTGAAGAAGACACCCCAGACCATCCGCTGTCTTCTGGGCCATCTGTGTTTGGAAGAAAGGCAGATAGGTCAGGCTGCTAACAAAGAACAAAGGAAGGCTGGGAGAAGCTGACCCTGCGCTCACACTGTTCTACTGTAAGCTGAGAGCCACGCTCACCTTGGCTTGGGGGTCAGCACAGGGCCAGATATCTTTGTTAACTGACTTAGAGATGTACTCACCACACCAGAGACACTGTTCCTAAAGAGCCACCAAGTTCAGGGTTACAAACATTTCTGAAGTCATTTCTAGGAAACATCTGATCAGGAAGTGGCTGAATCACCACCACCTGGCCCTGGGTGGGCCAGAGACAGGGAGGTGTGCATGTGGGAACAGGAGGCAGGAGGCTGTCCACTGACCAAGAGCACCTGCCCAGCACCATCCTTCCTTTGTGTTTCATCTGGAGAAGTGAGTTTTGTTCCAGTTCTCAAAGAAGCCATGGTGTTGCAGAGCCTGAACTTACACAAGAAGCTAGCTAAGGTCTCCCATGGTTGGAAAGGACACACGTGATGCGTCTAGACCCAACTCTCGTGGGAAGAACAGATTCCCAGCTAGACTCTGCCCCTCTCCCTCTGTGTAGGTGGCCTCAGTGTAGTGACAGACTCTCTGAGATCAGCCTCCCAAGGGTCTTGGAGACTCAGCCTCTACCTGTGTGCTGGTGAGAACCAGGCTGTGGAGACAGGGCGGCACCCCGAGCAGGACTGACTAGTGGGAGCACTCACAGAGTTAGCATACTAAGGTCTTTGACTTCTCAGTTCTACTCCAGCTGTGGGTGGGAGGTTGAGGATCCTTATGGTCCCCAAAGAACTCCAGGCTTGTAGCCATGGACACTCCATCTTGGTTTTCCTGAGATTTTAGCCCCTATGGATGGGGGTGGGCAGTGGGACTATAAATCTTTATGACTGCCCGTGAGGCAGGGTCCCCTGCCCAGCCTAGCTAACTGATGGTAACACAGGAGTGCCCTTTCCTTCCTCATCCTTTCCTTCCTCATGCCGGTGAGTACATGGCTGATCCCAAGGGGCCCCCTGCGCAAAGGCAGAAAGCAGGGGCCCAGGACTCAGCTTTCCTCATCCCCACCATCTCGGGGCTGCCAGACCCTCTTCCGCTGGGAGAGATCAGCAGCTCATTTACCTCTTCCCTGCCCCTGGGTGTGCTGAGTGGCGGCAGTAGTTCCTGCTCCGAGCCTCGTGGGGAGGGGAGACTGCTTCAGACTGACACACACTCACCCTCCGGGGAAAAGTCACACAAAGGCACAAGAGAAACAATGAGAGAGAAGCACACACACACACACACACACACACACACACACACACACACACACAAAACACACACAGAAATGGGCACCACACACACACACACACAGAACACACACACACAACACACACACAACACACACAGGAAGACATCCCGGTCAGGGGACTTCAGCTCCACCTGGTCAGGGGACTTCAGCTCCACCTAAGAAGGTGTCTTGTCACCCTCCCTGGGCCTCCAGGTGCTGTTGGCCTAGGGCTTTCCTTCCAGCTCTAGTGACTTCGGGAACTATGTGTCCTGGCAAGTGGATCAGACCCTGGACCAAGTCTCCAGTCTTTGACTTGTACATCCTGGGCCATTCTTTCCTCACCTCAGCACAAACCCCAATGTCCCGGCACTGAGCACTCCAAGTCGGCCACTCGCTGTTCTCCTCTACTCTCTTGAGTGCTCAAAGGACATCTGCCAGCCATGCTCTGCTAGTCCCCAGACAATTCCTCTGCTACCTGCCACCTCACTACTCCCAGGGAGGCCTGAGGAACCACAGGTCCCAAGAATCTGACATGAGGCCAGCCTGAGCTGGGTATGAGGAAGGGACAGTCGTCACTATCCAGCACCCACCCAGTCCCACTGGAGGAAGGGGCACAGCCATGGTGGAGCAGTGAGCAAGGGGTGAGTCAGCTAAAGCTGCCCACCGCCTCCCACCATCTCATCACCGTAAAACAAGAGAGCACTGAACTTTCCCAGGGAGCCTTGTGCCCTCCTCAGCCTGCAACTAGTAAGGCTACTTCTTTGCTGCCTCCTGACAGTGCCCCGGAGCCCTGTTCTATCCTCTGTGGCGGCTTCAGTGTGGGTGGAGCTGGAGCAGAAGAGACAGGGAGGGATGTCCCCCCACAGCTCCTGCTGGCCTTGAGTCCCAGCGCCCAGTGAGCACAGAGCTGCAAGTCTACAAACCCAGGTACACTGGCTGACTGAAGAAATGATGGCACTCTTTGGACTGGGTGCAAAGTGCTTGTGGAACAGGTGGCAGGTGGACCAAGAGGCCGAGGCCTTGGGAAACACCTCTCTGTGGCCAAGCCCTTAGGAGTCACCAGCAGCCTCCAGCATGGGAGTGCATGGCAGCAGACCCACCTCAGCCAGACACTCGTGTGATGAAGCAAGGCATGCAGGCCACGCAGAGGGGACTCAAGGGACAAGGCTACTTTGCAAGACTAAGAGGAACCAGGCTCCTCAAGGAACGCCCAGCAGCTCCTGTAACCCCGGAGCCCTCCACCTCCCACCTGTGCTCAGAAGTAGAGGAGCAGGGATCAGGAAGGCAAAGGGGAGGCAAAGTGGGGACTCTTAGAACTGGAGCCTGCGGCAGCCCTGAAAGGGACCAGGCTTCTCTGAGGGGGCAGCGCCAGCTACAGGAGCCTCACCCGGGTCCAGCTTGCTACGCTTCTGCTCAGGCTCCTGGGGAGCTGCTTCAATGGCCCGTTGAGCCTCGGGATGAGTCTTGAGGAGAGCCTTGGCCAGGGTGGCAGGGCCTGGTGCCCCCAGGGACATGATGCAGTGCACTCCTTTGCGCTTGGCCCCAGCCACTTTGGCGCTGTCTTTGGAGGCTGTCAGCAGGACCAGTTTGGAGCACTTTCTGGGCTTCCTGGGGGCTGCTGGGACCACATCCATGCCAGGCTGGGGAGTTGGCTCCTGGCCGCCCTTCACGCTCTCACCCTCTTGCTCACTGGGTTTGGGCTGGGGCATCCCAGAACCAGCAGCCTGGCCTTCAGGCCACACTCCCCTGGCAGATAGGTCTCTCCTTTTCCTCCACCTCCCTGGCCAGGAACCTGGGAGTCCAGGGGCTCTGTCCTAAGGGAGGAGGCAAAGCAGTCAGTGGAGGAGGATGGGGTGCTACCAAATGGATTTGGAATGTAGCTTGGGGTGATGGTGGGAATGAATGATTTCACCCTTCACTAAGTGACTATCTTGTATGCCGTGAACTCATTCCATGCCCCCAGTGGCAATATATTTAACATCTAAAAAAAAAGATGAGATGTACTTACTCACAAGGGAATTTTCCCCATTAGTCCATTACTCAGAAGAAAAGGGTCTCCTGTACAATATAAATGTCAGGAAAGAAACACATGAGCTGAGCTGAGGTGCAGCTCGGTGCAGTGCTCAAGCTTAACATGCAAAAGGTCCTGAGTTCGATCCCCAGAACCTTAAAAAAGGTTTAATAACAAGTAAATAAGATTAATACAAATCGCTGGACAGTGGTGGCCCACGCCATTAATCCCAGCACTCGGGAGGCAGAGGCAGATGGATCTCCACGGGTAAGGCTAGCCTGGTCTACAAAGCAAGTTCCAGGACAGCCAGAGCTGTTACACAGAGACAAACAAACAAAAAGACTAATACAAATTGATAGAATAAAAATAAACATATTAAAATTTAGGACCAGGCATGATAATATATGCCTTCAATCCCAGCATTCAGGAAACAGAGGCAGGCAGATCTCTGAGTTTGAGGCCAGCCTGATCTATATAGGGAGTTCCAGGACAACCAGGACTATATAATGAAACCCTGTAAAAAAAAAAAAAAAAAAAAAAACCACAACTCCAGTTTTAGTCTGGGGATATAGTTCAGGGACACAGCACACTTGCCTGGCATTTGAGTGGTCAATCCACAGCACGGGAAGATCTTGTTTTAGACGTACAGACAGAACACAAGTTGACAAAGGGAAGTGACCCGGAGGCTCAGTGAGCAAAGTCTTGCTGTGCAGGCATGAGTCCTGGGTGTGGATACCAGCACTCACCTAGAAGCCCAGTGTGGCGGCCTCTGTGACTCGAGCACTGCGAGGAGGGGAGCAGGGTCAGGTAGACCCCAGGGGAGAGTTGGCCTGCCAGCCTAGCCAAAACAGTGAGCTCTAGGTTCAGTGAGAGACCTTGTCTCAAAAAAGTTGCCAGGTGGTGGTGTCAGATCTCTGAGTTCGATGCCAGCCTGGTCTACAGAGCGAGTTCCAGGACAGGCTCCAAAGCTACAGAGAAACCTTGTCTCAAAAAAACAAAAAAAGAAAAAGAAAGCAAGTGGAGGTACTCACTACCAACCTCTGACCTGCACATGCGTAGGAGAGCACACCTGCAAAGACAGATGCACACTGCATGTCACATGTATACACACACTACGCCACACATGCACACACACAAGAGAAAGACCCAGAAACCTCTTGGATGAAATGGTGTGAGGAAGAGGTCAGGCACCCTGCCCCAATGGCTTTCTTGTCCAAGTCCAACACAAAGCAACCCGAGTCAGGGATGAGATCTGATGTCAATCTTAACCTTCTACTGGAACCCAAAGATGTCCTTCCCAAGTATTGACATCATCCCACTCTGCCCCCAGGGAGGTAACCTTGGGCACTTAGCGGAGTGGCCCAGTACCACACAGCTAATAAGAGTTAGGACTGGAACCCAGTCCTACTGGCCAAGAGCCAATTCCAGTAAGAAAGGCCAGCTATGGAGAGTGGAGTCCACTCTTTTTTTTTTTTTTTTTTTTTTTTTTGGTTTTTCGAGACAGGGTTTCTCTGTGTAGCTTTGCGCCTTTCCTGGAGCTCACTTGGTAGCCCAGGCTGGCCTCGAACTCACAGAGATCCGCCTGGCTCTGCCTCCCGAGTGCTGGGATTAAAGGCGTGCGCCACCAACGCCCGGCTTGGAGTCCACTCTTAAATGGGCAGGATTATAATCCTAAGAATAGGGCTGGAGAAATGGCTCAGAGGTTAAGGGCACTGGCTGCTCTTCCAGAGGTTATGAGTTCAATTCCCAGCACCCACATGGTACCTCACAACCATCTATAATGAGATCTGATACCCTCTTCTGGCTGGCAGGCATACATGCAAGCAGAACACTGTATAGATAATAAATAAATCTTTAAAAAAAATAATCCTAAGAATAAAGTAAATATCCACAAGACAAGCCCACAATGATATAAGTAACTGAATGTATATTAGGGAGGGCCCAAGTCTTCCTCATGAATTCCAGGGCTGGGGACATAGTTGGGAGAATGCCTGCCTAGCATGCACAAAGCCATGGGTTCCAGTCCCAACACCACATAAGCCTTTTATGTAGCACATGCCTATAATCTCAGCACTTAGGAAGTAGAGGCAGAAGGATCAGGAGTTCAAAGTCACCCTTGGCCATGTACAGGGTTCAAGGCCAGGCTGGGCTAAACAGGATCCTGTCTCAAGCTAGCAGAATTCTAAAGAGTACACTCCTCCCTAAGGTGGACCTTAAGTCCTCCCCCTTGTCACTTGGTGACTCACTCCCAAGAGAACAGGAATGCTAAGAATAGTAACAGAGCTCATATGCCACCTCCACCAGGTGATCAAAGTTAACGTTATCTGTGCTGAGTCACAGAGATGTGAGGCTGTGCTGTGCTGAGGCCCTTTTTCTCGGTGGGATCTTAGGAAATCTCAGCCCCACATCATGGGTTAGTCTATAAAATGCATGGCTAATGCTCTTCAAATCTGCACAACGGTGCCTGTGGTCTGGGATGAACCTGAGGTGGATGATGAAAATATGTGATTTCACCTTTCACGGTCCCACCTTTCACAACCTTAAAGATTTATTTCTATTATTTTTATTTATATGTATGTGTGTCTGTGTGAGTGAATGCCACATGTAGAGAGGTGGCTAGAGGCCACCTCTGAGTCTAGAAGAGGGTGTCAGCTCACTTGGAGCTAAAGTTACAGGTGGTTGTGAGCTGCCCCACACGGGTGCTGGGAACCCAACTTGGGGTTCTGGAAAGAGCAGCAAGCGCTCTTAACTGTGGAGCCATCTCTCCAGCCCCATCCTCCCCAGCTGTAAAGTCCATCTCTCCAGACCCACCCTCTCCATCTGTAAAGTCCATCTCTCCAGCCCCACCCTCTCCATCTGTAAAGTCCATCTCTCCAGACCCACCCTCTCCATCTGTAAAGTCCATCTCTCCAGCCCCATCCTCTCCATCTGTAAAGTCCATCTCTCCAGACCCACCCTCTCCATCTGTAGAGTCCATCTCTCCAG